ACCTCCAACTCCTGGGCTCAAGCGAGTCTCCTGCCTCCGCCTCCCAAGTAGCTGGGACCACAGGCGCCCACCACAACGCCCAGCTATTTTTTGGTTGTAGCCGTCATTGTTGTTTGGCGGGTCCGGGCTGGGGATTCAAACCCGTCACCTTAGGTGTACGTGGCTGGCGCCTTAGCCAGTTGAGCTATAGGCATCGAGCCTCAAAGTAGTTTTGATTTACATTTCTCTGATGATTAAGGATGATGAGCATTTTTTCATTTGTCTGTAGGCCATGTGCCTTTGTCAGAGAAGTTTCTCCTCAAGTTGCTACTGAATTCTTAATAAAATAGTATTACATTTTCAGTAAAAGCTAATTTATAAGGCCATTTTCTGTCTGACATGTTTGTAGAGGAAAATTCTTTTCATTTAGAAAGTTTTGATCTTGGCTCTGGATTCAAAAATTCACAATATAACTTTATAATTTCAAAGCCATTGAACTGTTGAATGGTATAGAAAATCAGGATATTCAGCTTCTCTTTTTGACATAAATTCACAGAACTAATGATGGTTAAGTCCAAGAGAGCAATGGTTCAATAACACATGATAGATTCAAATATTTTCTGGCAGAGTACCTACCAATAACTAATATAATAAATAACTATGGCTTTTGTAAATTTATCCAACTAAGTCTTTTTCTGTTCTATGTATCTATTTACCATTATGAATATATTCTGTTCTATGTATATGTTTACCAGATGAGTTGCAATACAGCTTAGCAGATTCCACATCAGATTCTACTAAATGAATGGGGGTTTTTTTGTTTTTTTTAACATTTTGCCTATAGTTGTCTCAAAGGGAGAACTTGAGAACCAAGGAAATATTTGCCTTTTCCTTTTTGTTTTTAGTCCTATCTCATAACTATGGCAATTGATGTTGTCCCTACTGTCCTCAACTTTCCTTAGGGAAAGATTAATAATCTTTAAAATTTAAATTTTCTCAGGATACATACAATATCTCAGCTACTGCAACCAAACACAATTTAAACTCACTATCAGTAAATTACTTTTCTTCCTTGGCTAACCAAAAATGCAACTTAGAAACTGACTTTAGTGCAACCTCATTTCCTTTTTTAAAAAAATTTTTATGATGAAATTCTGCTTAATGAGATATTATGTTTGAAATTTTCTACCTTTTCTAACCATTGCTTTTCTATCAGTTAAGCAAGCTGTAATGAGTACTTCATTCGGTAATGTTGATATATATTGTATTATTTTATCATGTTATAGTGTCATTGCATAATAAACAGAATACTTTGTCATCTAACTCAGTAACAAAATCATCCAGTTTACTATGGCTTAAGACACTAAAATTTCGCTTTCTCTTTCCTTGACTTTACATAATGGATATACATTAAAAATGTCATGTGACAATGATATATGTTACACTTGATATGCTATTAGGTTATGACTATGTCACTGTGATTTTTAGTGTGCTGTAGAAGAGTGCAAATTAAAGAGAATATCACACAAAGTCATTGTAGCACTACTTTATTCTGTTCCTGGTAGCAAAAAGTCATACAATAGCAAAAAGTCTATACAATAAATGAGTATATATGTATTCCAATAAAACTTTCTTTATGAACACTGAAATTTAAATTTTATACAGTTTTCACATATCAGAAACATATTCTTTTGCTTCTTTTCAAATATTTTA